GGCTAACGTCTTTTTTGTCCTACGAGAAAAGCTGTAAATCCTCTAAAGCTTGGCACGCGCAGCGAATATCATCGATGAAAAGGCTTCATTGGAGCAAAAGCTTTTTTTTTTATTTTATATTTAAACAGCAAATTCCACTTTTAGATAGATAGCAGGCACGTGAGAGCGAGAAGAAAAAGAGAAGCGGCCTGTTTACTCGAAGCTTAATGTATTTTCTCAAAGATAAGGAGTAATGAAGTAGCATTTTTCAGAAACGTGCTATTCTACTTTTTTTTTTTTTTTAATATATATGCCACGTCAAGTAACGTACATATTTAACAAAACATGGTACTATCAAATAGGTTTTATGGAATGTTATGTATTTTATAATATTTGTGTCACCAATACATAATATTATTTAATGACACGATTGATTTCTTTCTGAGAAAAAAAAGGCTGTGACTCAGAAGTTTAACGTTTTAACATTCTATTATTCTCGGTAAAATTTATAATACCCACGCTGCTGTCTAGCAAGATAACGATGACAACGTTTTCACATGAGCAATACCTTAATTGACTTTTAATGTACAATACTGGCGGAAGGAAAAACGCGTTAGCGTGCATATTCAATTTAAAATATACAAATTAAGTAGAGACCAAATAATAATTTTTGCAGAAAATTTTGAAAACCGGAAATACACTGCCACTTCTGTTTTTCTTTCTACATCTCTCGGCTTATAATTTATTTAATTGTGAATAGGAAAATGAGCATACCTTTACACTTGACACCAACTTTACCGGTACCCCAAATATAATCTTCACCTAAAGAATAAACAATTCTATTATTATTTGCAGAACTTTTCAAGACAAAGTATTTTCAGCTGTTCTTTTGTTCTTAAAATAGATTTGTACTTACAGAAGACGCACAGAATTGGAGTTACAAAATAAACGCCGTCGAGCACGTGGCCTTTTGAAGACTGGTCTGAATCCGACTGAGTAAGATATGCTGAAATGCAAAATGTAGCCAACTTCAAAAAAAATAACGCAATATATCTTGTTAAAGAAATGGAAAATTTTGTGAAGTTAATAGAGATTACTTAAAACATTTCGAATTCATTTTTTTTTTTTTTTTTGAAAGTAAGAAACTCGTTTCGTTTCACTCGATTTAATATTCATTAGTACAGAACAAAATTTAATGAAACGTGTTAAAAATAGATAACTTACAAAAAGGCCCGCTGTCTAGGATTACATATGTTGATTCTTCTTCTTTATGGATCTCAAGATGTGACGATGGATTTCCTTTAAGCATCAGGACTCCCTCTGATGTACCTCTGCAAGTGCATACAAACGTGTACTGTTAATTGTTAAAGTAACGAAGAAAAAATTGTTTAAATAGAGAATTAAAAAAAACTTACCAGGTACAAAGACGCCTTTTGATTACGAATTTACTAGTTTTCTAACTAACGTGAAAAAAGTGATGGCTATTGCACACAATTTTTACACGCCAACTGTCTTTTCAAACAATTATTCGCCTTGTAGTTTGTAATAAAAAAGGTTGTCGGCCTCTTATCTCGACGACGACATTGTAAACGTACTTATAAACTTTTACTTCTCTGACTGGAGTCTCAATTGTTTGGCAAGAGTCTTGTTCAAGGACCACAGGGACAGCTCTTAATTTCATTCACATATTCATTTAATATTTTTACGTACGGTCATTCTTACCATCACTAACGAGTTGCAAAACTGAAAAAAAAAAATTACCTGTCATCAGTATGCGATATATTTTTAAGAATATTTCACAAATAATTCAAGTAAACGTTCCAATACCTTTTTTATAAAATCCAGTGGACTCCACAAAGGCATGCACATTACATTCATCCAAAGGCTTTTTTTTCAAAAACAACCAGCAGACTAAATATACTCGTGTCGTAAAAACGGCGTCTCTGGATGACGTGTATGAAGAAAAGAAAGAAAAAAAAAAGGAAAAAAAAAATCTACAGTTTTGGGCGCCCGGCAGCTATACACAGGTATTATATACCGTGATTCACCGTCCCACCACCAGTTCTCGTTTTTTCACCAATCATCACCGTCTTCTCCTCGACTTTGGCTCCAGGACAACCATGTCAACTGCGCGCAGGCCGTTAAATGTGCAAAGAGCTGCGACCTCTGAAACGAGATGAAAAAAAAAAAAAAAAATCAAGGGGGATACCGCTCCATTCCGGTGTCGCGAAGGAGAAGTGAAAAAAGGGCGTGAAACGCGCTACCGGCGATATATATATATATAGAGCTGCAACGTTTCGCAACGTCGACTCCTCCTATACCTTGTGTGGGGTTTTTTTTTTTTCTCTTTCAAACTATACTCCGCGATGCAATGCAAAACGGTTCACTCTGTGTGATTGTACGACGAGATAGAGGACGGAACAGGTGGTTTTTTTTTTTTTTTTCTTTCAAGCGCCAAATGAGAAAATTAATCGGCACGCGATCGTTACCCATATACGCGTACGAACAATAAAAACGAAGGAAAAAATACAAAGTTAGGAGCTTCAACTTCGATCGGTACAACGTATTTACACGGTGTACACAGTATTGCACAGTATTGCAGGGCACGTGAAGCCGGTACATACATTCCTGTATATATATATATATGTGTGTGTGTGTGTGTGTGTGTGTGTGTGTGTCGAGCGACTCGGTTAATTTTAGTCCAATCGAGCGACCCCACTGCGTATGTATATACGCGCGTGTGTGTTGTACGTAAATATATACGCACTTATTCTCTGTATCCCGTGTACGTCAGAAGGTAAGCGTGAAGCGCGATTCGCTCGAAAAGAGTCGCACAAAGCAATAATATCCCCCTTACTATTATGGTACTTATAGAGAGCGAGCAAAATTTTTCGAATTTTAGAGTCAAAATTTTCCAGCGAAACAGGTACCACACACAACTCTACAGTTTTTGACGGTTGATCGACCAATTACACGGCCTAAGCGTTGCTTGCTCCGATGTTCGTGGAGGTTTGCTGAAACTCATTTGTACTCACGCACACCCGAGTGCAATGTCGCGTCCATTAGCCTAAACTCTCTCTTCCCTGCCGCGCACGTAACTCTATACATATATGTATATTTCCAGGGTAACATTACAGCGCACAGCTTTTACCCTCCTTCTCCTTCCCTGCTCTTTTACCACGTGTGTGTGTGTGTGTGTATACACGATTAGGCAGTTAGCCGATAGTTTGAGCTCAACCGGTCAACTTCAAAACTTCAAAAGCGTACGTGTATAGTTTATAGGTAAGTATACTTGCACGTCATGCCCCGTCCCTCCGTTTCGCATAAATATACACACTATATGCAGCAGTGTAAAATATACATTGCATATTATATGGATTGATCGACTTACGACGGAAAAATCGACAGACGGCGAATATTTAACATACGTATGTGTATCACAAGTTGGCCAACCTTCGTACAAATACCAAAAACCTCCCCCATTTTTCGTTCCATTCAACATACCTATGGGTATTATAGGTAAGAACATTTTTACTTCAGATTAGGAATTGCTCTTTGACACCTGGCGTGTATGTTGTGCATTGTGCATAAATGACGCGCCCATGTATGATAATAAATGCATTTGGTGTAATAGGCATTCACCTGTTATATATGTATATACATAAATTTATACGCATCGGGGCACACACACAAATATATATTACGCATATTACGAGGACGAAGTACTCGTCCTGGTGAGATCCGAGGGGGATGTACGTGCGTTTGAGGATTTTTTTTTTCCTGCAGTGATGGAGGTTGCGGTTTTCGCGGTGTGGTTGGTGTTGGCGCGAAGCGTAGGATNCTCTGAAACGAGATGAAAAAAAAAAAAAAAAAAAAAGGATTGAGCTTGAGTACCTATTATGTCTCTCGTATTAAGTATACTTGTATATGTAAATGTCAAACGGGGGCGTTTGTTTGGGTTTCTCACGGGATTAAGGGGGAGAGACATCACACAGACTCCGTAACGATAGGTAAATGCAAAACCGAGAGGCTGAAAAAAAAGATAGCAGCGTAGCATATTACATGCACATTTACTTGTTTGTTTTTGAGAGTGAAACCCAATCAGCAAGTAAAAAGAGATCCGGAAAGAGGTTAGGGCAGCGGGTACATAAGCTGCGATCGGGAGCCAGAGAGAAAAATAAAAAGAGGAACAACCGCGGACGAGACGGATAGATAAATTAGCTGGTCGAGGGGATGGACGTATACACGTAAACACGAACCTTATCGTCACCCCTGCAGTCGCCGAACGCTCCATGGTTCCTTCCTCGAAGTAGGCGTTCGTTCGTACCCGGGTAGAGGTGTACTCTTTTTTTTTTTTTTTCTCGGGACGCCTGAAACGCGAAGGGGGAGCTGTACCTTCACTCGCTGCTCTTCTGCAGCATCACGGAACGGAGAATCCACCAACACACACCGGCTGCAGCACCACACAACACCTATTCGCGACTCTTTTGCGAACCGCGAACTCGCGACTCCTCGGAGCATACAAAATTGTACGCTCTCTACGGTTGAGTCTCTATATCCCGATTCCCCTATATATATGACACGACACCAAGAACGATTTCTTTTTTCATAAAGGCCCATTTTTATGAATACATCACGTAAGTATATTGCATTGGTCACCCGACAGAAAATTGCCGAACAGCTGTTGTTTGCGTCACGTGTCCAAGACGCTCCGAAAACTGGCGTTCATGAAAATCCACCCTAACCTAGAGTCAATCGAAAGAGAGATGACTCAAAAGCCGCCATGGGAAGGGGGGGGGTATGTGTTGCGCGCAAAGTTTGAACCAATGAAATCATCGTCTGATAAGTACGCATATACAGCAAAAACAAATGAGTAGCAAGTTGAGGGAATCTTGTGCCCGATATAATTGGATTGCATACACGGGACACGGGCGCGGTAACCTTCAAAGTTGTTGTTCGTAATTAGCAGCGACGGAGCAAACAAGACGATGGGCCTCGAGGGACGGGCGGCTTGAGCGACGATGAGGTGTTTGTGGAGAAGATTCGCCCCGACGGCCGGCAGTTACGAACGATTGACCAGAGGCTGCAAGAGTCTCAGCAGCAGCGGTGGCTCGAATGAAAGGGAGGGCGAAAAAAGCAGTAGGCGCGGTGGTAAGAGAGCCCCGGGAGTGGATTGCCGGAGAAGCACGGGCGACCTGTCGGTGGCGGTGGTCGGCGGTGGCTGCAGCGCCCTGTGCGCCACGATCCTACTGAAGCAGAACCCGGCCATCAGGGAGATTCGCGTGGTCGACACCGACGACTCGCTCGCGGCCGCGGTTTGCGACATCAGGCAGATTGACACGTCCACCATGATCCGGCACTTTGAGAAGGAATCGATACTGGAGGGCACGCGGAACGTACGTTACTTTTTGGGGTGCTCGTACTCGCGTTTTGCACCCGGGAACTTTAATTGAGTTACCGGATGAAAGTCCACCAGATGTCTATAGGTTTTTTATTTTTTTTTTCACGCAGTGTGATGCACTTAGTCACCCCATCTCTTGCGCAAGTTTTTCTAATCTTCCGTAAATGTCAATTTTTTTTTTGGTTTTTCTTTTACCATTTTTCAATGCTTGCGACCTTATTACATGGGCACATAAGTATATGTTTGTGCCATCGGGTATGAGTTGGGGATAATGGCTTTCATCACTTGTAAAATACTTGGACGATAACAACGTGTGTCATGTATTACTTTTTCGAGTTTTTCAAGTATCGGCAGTTATCGTGATTCACCTATGGTTATTTTGTTTTTGTTTTTATCAACAACATAAAAGAATTTTGAAACAAACACCTCATGACCATGACCACGAAATGCGCATTTTGTCGACAGCAATTAGGGATGATTCATTGCGTTTGTAGGTAAAACTGAATACATATATGTTTGTCCAGCTCTCGCCTCATCTATAAATGCATTATCTATTACGAAAGGCAATGAGTTTTAATAATCAGCCATATACACATGTTGCAACTCTCGCGTGAATGTCTTCAGTGCCACATAGTCGCGCTGATGGACGAGACGGACTTCACGCTGGGCAGCCAAGGGCCATTCGGGCAGTTCGCCTGGAGCGCGAGCTACGTCAAGTCAACGGCCGAGTGCATGCTGAACTCATGTCCACGGGCACTCATAGCCGTTTTTGCACGTACATTTGCACTTATTGCATCATATATTTATATGCATACCGTTTTGTAACGAAAAACAAACAAATCAAAATCAATCAATTGAAATCAGAGTCATAAATTAAATCGTTGATTCAATTGTCAATTAGGAAACCGTTATAAAATTTTTTAATCGAGAGTGAATCGGCCACTGTCTTGCGTCAAATCTTAGTAGACTCCATTATTGGCGGAATGTAAAATAAATATTTTATTTTTCATGCGCAATCGCACGAATTAGATGTTCTAAACTAGCTGGACGATAATTATATTGTAATTTTTCGAGTAATTGTTAATTTTTATGATAAATCAGCGGTGAATCGACGAAGATCCAACGATGTGATTTATGACCGATTTCAGTGTCGATTCAACATTGTGATGTTTCAAACGGGGGGGTACTATCTTTCAGGACCCGTGACCGCCACCCTGCCCCTCGTACACGAGGTCTTCAGGTACTCCGGGGACTGGGACCCCAACAGAATCGTCGGTTCGGCCGCGCTCGAGACCATGAGGGTTATTGGCATGGCTGCCGCGCACTTGAACCTCGACCCCGCGTGTCTTACGATCCCCATGGCCGGAGGTGTCGACTCTAGCACCGTCGTGCCGCTTCTCTCGAGAATCAAACCTCTCGTCGACTTCTCCGACGTACGAGCACATTTCTCCTTCTTTTTTTTTTTTTTCATATTGAGCTACCATTAATTGTTACTAACGATGCACTCAGTAATCTCCAGCTCTTTGAAGAAAAACAAAACCATGTCAGGCAATTGTAGAAATAATGCATTATCTAATGTAGAGGCACTTGGCTGGAGTGAATACTATAAATTTTGAAGGGCTGGAAAAATTTATAACCGATATCAACCAAATTCTATTTTGCGGTATCTTTAAAACTAATACAGGTTACTATATCTCTTTGTTTCATTAAATTGGGTGGGGATACCTATACAGTAGAATTTGGTGTTTCGGGGTATCACTGCTACAAGTTGATTGCCATTGAGATATCCCAACGAAGGTGTTGGACGTAGCAATAAAATTGATGTCGATGTTCGACCGTAAACCCAATCAACAGAAGGAGCACTGCAAGCTGGTCGGCCAGGTGAGGTCGACGGACCAGGAGCTGTGCGAGAGCGAAGCCAGGGGTCCCACGTTGTCGAGCGGAGTCGCGGCAGCCAAGTTCGTGTCCACCCTCGTGAATGGCCTGAAGAACCGGAGCATCTCCGTGGCGAGCGCCTACGTCCGCTCTGACGCGCTTCCGGGCTGCAAGTACGCGACCAGCGAGATCAAGTTCGGCCCGCGGGGCGTCGAGAAGAACTACGGTCTCCCGAGGATCTCGCCCCGGGAAGTCGCCCTCGTCGAGCGCGCCGCGCCCCTCATCAACGAAATCGGCGCCTCAGCCGAGATATTTTTTAACACCGGCAAAATCAAGTGACCGACCAACAATACAATCCAACAAAAGCAAAACAACAACAATCGAGTGTTCTTTATTACATATATAATCCAGCCAGTTTAAGCCCGATGTACCTCCCCCATTGAAGGTTCATCGGCCCAATCGGCGACCGCGTCTGTATACACCGCTTCGGACTGGTAAAAGTGTATAAGTATAAGTAGCGTTTATTAAGCCGTGTGGTATGACCACGTGTGGCTTCAAGTAAATTACACAGAAAAATACAGTATAATAATTCATACAGAATAATTATATAGTTCAAATAACACACGTGATATTATCGGTTATTTATAAATTCAGTTAGAGATACAATTACATTTATCTTTCTATGTGTATATCTATGAGAAAATGATGAAAGATGAGTGTTGATAAGCATGAAAAGAAGAACGTAAAGGGTAATCTAGAGGCGGGGTGAAAGTCTGCATTCTGTATTCCAATGGTTCGAGTCGAGGGTGAGTTGAAGAGAAAATAGAGTGCGTTTGAATAAGGCGATTTGAATTTGATCAAATATTGTTTGACGTAGCCGTGTAAAAAGTGTAGTTGATTGAATCAAAAAAGAATTTCTCGTGGTTTCTGTGCGAAAAGCAGGGCATAACAGATAATATTAGGCACCGTCGAGCTTTCCAGGTCTCCGCTATACGATTTATCATAAGTACACACGTGGAAATATGGGTCAGTTTCGATAGTTTTGCAGACCAAAGTATATGTATACTGGCTCTTGTTGTTGCGTGTATGTTTGTTCTTCATCCGTCTAACGTGTCCCGGACGATGATAATAGGCGAGGTGGGATGCACACACGTATATTATCATCAGGTCCAATCAGTTTCGATCTGCAACGAAGCAAGAAAGAAACAAATCAAAAGTGGACCCTTGTATATACACGTCCTCGAAGAAATGCTTCCTGCCTATCTCTCAACGGCGCATTTACACTTCATAAATTACACTCGGCTCAATTGTTCTCGAAGAGCACCAGATGATGCCGTCCATCCACTCTCTCTCTCTCTTCCTATGTACGTGGGCACATAAACAATGTGACAACATCTCACGCAAGTGACCCCCTCGCTTGCACCGCGAGCCACAGCACGCGAAATTGACCGTAACGATATAAGTGAGCAAATAACGCGCTCTTTATTCCCGAGGGGCCGTATATAAATGACGCACCGGCGCGCAACACCGGGCCAGTTTTCGCACGACGTCCCTTGCCGATACACGACTTGTGTGTAATATTATATCCCCAATGTGCGCGAATCCCGGATCTTTACTTGCACCATCGACGGACTAGCGGAAGCGCGACGACAACCATAATATACACCTTGCACGGATAAGCCGATCTTCGCCATGGCGATCGCGCGACTCGTTCTGCTCATCGTCGCCGCGGCTGCCTCGATCGAGGCTAAGGCGATCGGTGAGTCGTCGATATACACTCCTATGGGGTTTTTTTTGTTCAAAACGACAACGTTGTTACAGGCAGCAAACCGCCGTCCGAGGAGACGCAGCTGTTCTTCACCCACAACGGGACCCTCGTGCGGATGGCGGTGCGCGACGGCCACGCGAGAAAGGCCGTGGTGGTGGGCGAGGAGGTGACGGATTACGCCCTGGACGAGGTGCGCGACCGCATTTTCTGGGTAGCCAAGAACGGAAGCGTCTTCGTCCGGCCGATCGGGGGCTCGTCGTCGGCCAGCCAGCCGGTGTTTGCGTCCCCATCTTTGGGCGCCGGGGTGAGAATCGCCTGCGACTGGCGCACCGACAAGCTGTACTTGACCAGCCACGAAGGGAGGAGCGTCATGGCGCTGGACCTCAAGAACACAGGGCCATACCATCGTTGGCACGTCGTGCTCGAGCACGGCCACCTGGCCAAGGTCCAGAGGATCAGCCTCGACCCGGCCATGGGGGCCATGTTCGTCCAGCTCGACGACGGAAACTGGACCGATGTAACTACGATACATGTACATGTATAATTACGTGTATTTATGGACTATTTTTTGTTGTGCTCGGTTTCAGTTGTACCGGTACAACATGGACGGTACCGATCGGCATTTGGTTATGCGCAAGGAGAGCCCGCAGCACTACGACTATGACTTTGAGACGAAAAAGTTGCACCACAATAGCGGCGAGATAGCTGCCGACGGCAACCAATTCTACTTGAAGTACCACACAGGTATTTTTCATTCTTTTGATTTGTTTGAACGATGATCTTGGTTAATGATGGCGAATCGGTCATGGTAGACGACAGATCGTACAAGGTGATCCGAGCGTACGGTCCGAAGCGAGGGCGGGAGGTGCTCGCCTTCCTGGACGCCTTTGACACGGACGACGTCAGGAACCTGAGGGTGTACCGTCGCTCGGTCAAGAAATACGTTCTGGTGGATCCGTGCGAGAACAACGGGGAGTGCGGTACGGATGCCATGTGCCTGCTGAAGATCACCTGGCCGGGCAAGAGTTGCAACCCTTACAGCAAGGCCGAGACGCGCAGCCGGATAGCCCGGCAGATACCCTTCGACATGTACTCCCAGCAGCCGACCCTCAGACCCGAGCCCCAGCCCACCCAGCCAGACAACTCGTACCTGCCCGTTTACCTCTCCATCATTGGATAGGTGCTGGTGCTGGAAGATTTTGGGATCTCTTACTCTGGCGTGTTTGGATACGGTCTCACTGCGGACCACTTTATATATGTTTTTTTTTTTTTTTTTTACACGGCCCATTCGAAGCCTGCCGTACGATGTTTTTTGCATCCTCGCGTGCAAACTATACTTAGTGCAACTGTACCACGTCTTGCCGTTGAAATGCACTACATAAAGTTACTTATACCGATGTATCATCGACATAACACGTGTAATCATCAATTGTTTCATCTCAATAAATGATAATCATAATTACTTTTATGCCTTGTTTTTTTTTTTTTTTTTTATCTCTGTGTAAAAAACGTCGTTGTTTATAATTACATATACGTAAAACTAAAATTAAAACAGTACCTGTACATTCCCCCACAAAAACTTTCCATTTAATTGGGTTTATCGCTTTGTTCGTAGTATTTTGTTACGAGGGAAAGATATTGTACGCGCGTCATTTGCAAAAACGTTATTTATTCGGGAACCTTCCAAATAACAGATTCGACAACAAGCTCATTTTTTGCTGTTCGTTGAAAGAAACAAAAATAAAAGAAGCACCTTATCGACGTGAGTAATAACACTCGGTGACTGAAAGTTTACACAGTCGCGACTCGGGGGAAGATAAGGCGCGCGTTATTACGTATATAAATTGGGCGCAACGAAACAATCGCGAAACAACCGTACTCCGAGAGACACGGTTACCCGAAAAATGTTCAACTTCAAGCTAGCGATTTTCGTCGCGTCCGCCTGCAGTTTGGTGCTCGCTGCTCGTAACAGGCCCACGGTGCAGTACGAGTGGAAGTACGTCAACTACACCTGGCCCACGACCGCAGCCTACGAGGACGCGGTCAAAAACGGCACCTACATCAAGGAGAACAACCCTCTGGCCGGGATAAAGTTGTGGAAGGACAAGCTGTACTTGACCGTACCGCGATGGAAGGATGGCGTGCCGGCCACTCTGTTGGTCACCTCAGTCCGGCCAGTTGATGGTTCGTTGTCCATACGCGTGTCCTTCCATCGATGATATAATTACGGTTTTTTTCACAATGCACGTACAGGCGAGAAATCTCCGCTCCTCGAGCCCTACCCCAACTGGGACATGCAGAAGATCGGGGGCGACTGTTCGGGCTTCCAGTTCGTGCAGAGCATGGAAATAGACCCCATGGGTAGGATGTGGGTGATCGACACCGGCCGCGTCGCCACGCTTTCGAGCACTCCTCGGAATCTTTGTCGGCCCCGCTTGGTCATCCTCGACCTGGAAAATAACGGCGAGATTCTTCTGAACTACGTGTTTCCCGAGAGCGTGTCCAGCCGCACCAGTGCCTACTTGAACGACATTGTACTGGACCACAGCGACGGCGGCTACGCCTACATCACCGATACGGACTCGAAGAACCCCGGCATCGTTGTCTTCAGTTTGGGTCAAATGGACTCTTGGCGCGTGAGTATATTTTATTGTCGACAAGCGTTTGTGTCCCAAGTGCCATGAGTTAATGTCCCAAATAGGTGACTGATCCGTCGATGAAAGCGACGGCGGTGGAGTTCACGGTGAAGTACGACGGGACTCGGGTGAGCCAGGCGCTGAACGTCGACGGTATCGCCCTGTCACCGGCGTCCGAGCGACATCAGAGTCGCCTGCTTTACTACAGTCCCCTGTCGTCGCTTGACATCTTCAGCGTGCCGGTGCGAGACCTCAAATCCCGACCGAGCGACGTGAGCTCGAGCGTCAAGCGGCTAGGGAGGAAGACCTCGCAGAGCGACGGTATGATTATGAGTGCCAATTACAGGCTGTTTTACGGCCTCCTGGCGGAAAACTCGGTCAAGAGTTGGGACAGGACCATTACCTTCCACGATGACAGGACGATGCAGTGGCCCGACACCTTTGCCATCGACGAGAAGGGCGCGCTCTGGACCGTCAGCAACAGACTGCAGAGGTTCCTCGCGGACATGGTCAATGTGAGCGAAGTCAACTTCCGGGTGATCAAGTTGGCCGATAACATCAACGCCAGAAGTTACATGTACTACGGTAACGGCGAGGCACCCGTCTTCCCGAGTATAGAGTAGATTTTTGGCTTACATGGCTTTTTTGCTGCTATGCTCTGTATTTGAATAAATCTTGCAAAGAATTGATCATTTTCTTCATTTGACTCGTTCCGCGCCTTCATCAACATTTGCTACTATATGTTAATTTTAGCAGAAAATGGATCAGAAAGTAGGCATTCACTACTGATGTAAGCATTCATTATGACGTATATTTACAAATTACAGTGGTTTAATCTTAACAATCGCAATTAATTTATTACAAAAATATGGTACACCTTGCCAACGGGTCCTCATCAATCTTCGTCGCTCTCGTATGCCTTTGATTTGCCTGAGCTATCGTCTCCCTTACCAGGCTTGTTTGATCTTAAAACTGCACCAGGACTTGGATATGGTCTCATCTGATATAACGGACCCGCGGCTGTGGTGTCAGCCCCGGTTTTTGCCTCGTTCTGCCTGGCCAGTCCATCCGACCACTTTCCCCTTGGAATGTCACTGTAAGCTGCCGGATCCATGGGATCTAACGTCCTGTCTTTCTTGTCATTTTTGCCCTTGTCGTATTTTTGGTAACGCCTCGTATCCATGTTAGGCCTGTATTTATCCCTGTACTCTTTTTCCCTATTATCTTTTCGATCTCGCTTTGCTTGCGGCTCTTCTTCCTGTAAACAGTATTTCATTTTAGTTAAAAAAAAAAGTAAGTTTCATCCAATGGCAGTTATTATATCACACCTCCTCGACTTCTTGTTCGCTCCCGCTCTCTTCGCTGGATACGTTGTCATCCTTTTCGGCTTCCTTCAAGTGCCTTTCTTCCCTAAGCTGGGATGCCGGCTGTGAAATTTGACACTTTGGATGACCAGGAGGAAACCAAGCAACTAAATCTGACGACCAGTCCCAGTAATAATGCCTGCCACTGAAAATGTACACGAAATTCACATTCACGGTCCAAAAAAAACAGCACAAAAGACTCTAGTTGCATGATACCTACGTTCCAGCATCAAATATTGCCTTCCACGTTTCTGGCAGGGGATACTTTTTCATGATTTTCAACTGTCGTTTTAAATACCTTTCCGTAGGCTGCGTGTGTCCCTTACCCCACAATTCTTTGCATTTTTTTGAACAATCGTGATAAATGTTATACTTGTTGGGGCAGCCGGGGTAGCCCTAAAATATTGAAAATTAGTAAAAACTCTTGGAGCTTTCGAATTATAATGATTGAGAAACGACTGTTTACCATGAATTTCTGAGCAATATCTAGTTGGATGTCATCTTTGGAGTTGTCATAATCCTCAGCTATGATCTCTTCGTGGACTCTTTTCTTACTCTCATCTTTGTTAGCTTCTGCAAACATAATTCATGAAGAAAAACAATAAAAAAGATATTTCAAATATACGATTTGTATAGTGTAAACGACAAGTTGAGGTTATCTCCTGTCTTACCATTTTTTTTGGAACCTATCAATCCTCTCTTAGCAAGACGAGCTGCCAGAGCTGCAGGAAGAGGCATTTTATCTACCACTTGAATTACTTTTTTAATAATACACTGATTTACACCACAAGAACTTTAATTTTACATTTCACATCAAATAGTGGCAATGGCAAATGTATATAAATCCTGCACTGACGGTCTGATGAGAGGGGGGGAGAGACTTGCAGCAGAATGCAATTTTAGCGGGAACAGGCGAACAATTCAAAAAATTCAACAAAATTATCATTAAAAAAGATAAAATTTTAATTAAAAAATCACAGTGTAAAATACTTTATAAAATTTTTACATATGTACAATTCCAATAATTTATCAAACACAGCTAATTGTTAATAAATAAAAAATTAAATACTTTTAAACAACCGTTCAATTTTCAACTTCTTCGCTGTCGCTGCTATTAATATTTTTATCATTCTCTTCCTCCTCCTCCTCAGAATTTTCACCACTTCCAAGGAATGTTTCCTCCTCAGCTCTGAACGGTGGAAATTTGAAATTCGGTGTACATTCGCTGATGGAAAATTTTTGGACATAAGGCATCGGATCATTTGATTGCCACATTTTTACTCTAGGAAGAGGAACTGGGCCTCTGGTTTTCTTGCAAGTTTTAACATTTTCTTCAGGTTCTTCAACCTCTACGATGGCTCTGTTGTTGGGGATAGAAGGTGGCTGTTGTAGAAAAGGTGGTGGTGTAGGCACTGATGGCCCCAAATCAGATTCAGAAACTGTAGAAGGCTGGTGTGGAGCAGGTGGTGGTGTAGGCACTGATGGTTCCAGATCAGGTTCAGAAACTGTAGGTGGCTGTTGTGGCGCAGGTGGTGATGTCGGCATTAATGGTTTCAAATCAAGTTCAGAAACTGTAGGCAATTGTGGCGGAGCAAGTGGTGCTGAAACTGGTGGTTTCACATCCAATTCAGAAGCTGACTCGATTGCTACATTAGGTTGTTCTAAAAAAAAAGATTTTTTATTTATTTTTCATTATCAAAAACACAATTAACAGATATCCAAACTGATACTACCAATGCAATGATCCCTTTTCATTTTCTCATACATGCGTGTTAGAGCTCTAAGCTCTCTCTCCATCATAGACTTCTGTTTGTCTACTAGAGCTTCCTTAAGTTCACTCATAAAATTTTTTTTCAACAACTTATCCAACCGGTACTCATCGATGATCCCATTGCCACCTTCCATCAACGGTTTCAAGTATGCTTCTCTGATGTACTCTTCAAACACCTCATCCTCAATCACTGGCATGTCATTAACCATCACGACTGTCCTTTTATCCTGAGAAACTGAGAACAAATTTTCATTTTCCGTTTCCGGGGTAGTGACAGCTTTTTTCTGGGTCTTGACAATAAGTAAGCTACTGAATTCGGCAGAGCATCTGGCGTTCTCAAGTTGTTTGTAAGCTTCATTCATTTTGGCTGTGATTAGTTCAATCAAATTATCCTCATCTTTGTCGTCACTATTTGCATCCAGCAACTCGAGAATATTAAAAATCTCTTTATAAGCGAGTTGAATTCTATGAGATGTTATGTCCAAGTGAACGTAGACATCTCGCCATTTGGAGATTGGAGAACTTCTGTAAGTTGGAAATTTCAATTAATTTCATTAAAAATGTTTAAAAATCATAATTTTAATCTATATCTGGAAAACTTGCCTGAAAACGCGTTCAACAGGTTTAATCTCACAATTTTCGTAATTCTGCAGTTTAGCACACAAATGAAAATAATGATCTGTTAATGTGGCATATAACTTATTCACGATTTTTTGAAGTTTGAAATGTGGAATTTCAAAATATGTGTCTTGTGCTCTGCCATTGTAGGCATTAGCTAGGGCAAACATTGTCTCAGACTGCGCTAGAATGTAGGTGTAGTACCAACTCTGAAATTTGAGAAAAATATTTTAGGCATATGCAAAACTTTTTTGTGGACATTTAAGAAATTTGCTTGTTTTATACTTTTAATTTATTGTAATCTTCTTCACTTTGCTCTTTACAACTTTCAGCTTCTATTTTTGTTAAAAAGCACTTTGCGTGTAGGGAAGATGGTAAAATTTTTAAAATTTGATTGCCTTGTTCATAAAAGAGACAAGAAACACTCTCAAATAATTCGAAAAGTTGCTTTTTGATTTCTAAAATTATCACATACTTTTCGCTCCCAATCAACCTAGAGAAAATAAAACGTACTAAAACATAATGGAACGTTAGAGGAAATCAATAACTTAAGTATTAGTGTGAAACTTACTCATTTTTTTTGTGCATCTCGCTAACTATGGATTTTTTGCAATAACGCCGAAGAATTTTGAGACTGTGTTTGATTGAGTTATGCAGATTGGACTGCAATTTTCCAAGTGCCTTCAACTTCCAAGTCAGTAATATATTTCTTCCTCTTGTACACAAAGACGAGCTTAGAACTACACCTGCTACAGCTGCAGATGAAATGTCTTTTTTTATCACAGCAAAGGCAAACAGTCCAGCTGTTGAGCCAATAAATGGAAGCCATGCCACTAAATTTCTGTTTTAAAAATAATGTTTAAGCTTGGGTGTAAAGATCCATTAATGTACATTGCAAAATTTTGGTACTTACCGGATAAGACTTTTCTTTTTATCATCAATAAACTCATGAACTATTGCCGCATGATCATCCAACAAAATATTTGAATTTAGAATGATATTTAGTTGTTTCTTTATTAGATCGTTTTCCTGTGAATAAATTTAGTTGAAAGTTTCTAATCGAGGATATTGGATAGATGAAGCTAAAAATTTTTTACTTGAAATACAAATCGCTGGACACAGTGTAGCTTATTAAAGCTTTTCCCTAAAGCTGTGCACATCTATAATCAAAGATACAATCACTGGATGAGTTAGTCTAGGTAGTAAATAGATCGCATATAAAAATATAAATTTACACTCGTTGCTGGTATATTATTTTCATAATTAACATACTCCATTTTGGCCTTTGGGATTGTGTCGAAATTAGTAAATCCTACATTAACGAGGGCATTGTGCAATTCGCTTCCCTGAAAAAACAAAAAAACAGTAAAAAAGCAGCGTTCACCAAAGCTTTTTCAAAAATAAAAAACAAGAGGTGTGACCACTATACCTCTATCACAACATCTCCGTCGTCTTGCAACATGTTTAAATTTTCGGCTAACATTTTTTTTTTAAAGATTATTTATCAACTTTTTAATTTTAAGGTTAGCACTTGAAGTGATTTTGGACAGCAAACCGTACAAATATGTACAAAAAAAAAAAAAGAGCGTGTGAAATTGGCATTTGTCACTTGTTACACTTCTTTTTTACATTACGTAATGTCGGAAATAGAAAATTGTTTATTTTTAGAAAATCACAAAATATTTCGATCTTGTGTTTTTGTATACAAAATTGCATCGTAGACTTAACGTGACCTTAACCCTTTATAAAATTTTTACATATGTACAATTCCAATAATTTATCAAACACAGCTAATTGTTAATAAATAAAAAATTAAATACTTTTAAACAACCGTTCAATTTTCAACTTCTTCGCTGTCGCTGCTATTAATATTTTTATCATTCTCTTCCTCCTCCTCCTCAGAATTTTCACCACTTCCAAGGAATGTTTCCTCCTCAGCTCTGAACGGTGGAAATTTGAAATTCGGTGTACATTCGCTGATGGAAAATTTTTGGACATAAGGCATCGGATCATTTGATTGCCACATTTTTACTCTAGGAAGAGGAACTGGGCCTCTGGTTTTCTTGCAAGTTTTAACATTTTCTTCAGGTTCTTCAACCTCTACGATGGCTCTGTTGTTGGGGATAGAAGGTGGCTGTTGTAGAAAAGGTGGTGGTGTAGGCACTGATAGTCCCAAATCAGATTCAGAAACTGTAGAAGGCTGTTGTGGAGCAGGTGGTGGTGTAGGCACTGATGGCCCCAAATCAGATTCAGAAACTGTAGAAGGCTGGTGTGGAGCAGGTGGTGGTGTAGGCACTGATGGCCCCAAATCAGATTCAGAAACTGTAGAAGNAATAGAAAATTGTTTATTTTTAGAAAATCACAAAATATTTCGATCTTGTGTTTTTGTATACAAAATTGCATCGTAGACTTAACGTGACCTTAACCAATAACCTCTGCTTAAGCTAGGTAGATTTTTATGTAGATACTTATTGCTTACAGTTGGTAAGTACGTTTGCTTCTGTACCGAGCTTTAATAAAAAAAACTCAATTTTTTTTTTAAATATTTTTTGTACTAATAAAATAGCAAAATTGGTGCTCATTCTAAATTTATATACTTTTCCATCACAGCAAAACTAGATATTTGACGATTTTTATACGTCATATGAAATTTTATTGATAAAAGCATTGATAAAATAAGATTCGAAATTCAGCTACAGACGGTAGTTTTTACGCATAAATCTGTAAGAATTTAAGAAATCGGTGGTTCAATGATGTAACATTGTGACCTTATGCAGATTATGAATTAAATTTCATTAAAAAAACCCCCTCTGTTTTTCGTAAAGATAAAAAACAATTCAAATATCCAAGTTGGAGAGTTGAAATATTGTTGGGAATTCAGAAAAAGTTGGTTGAAAATTAGCACAAAATGTGCACGCTAAAGTGCAGAGAATTAAGATTTTGTTCCATTATTGAATAATGACAAATTATTTTCATGACAAGTGGTAATAAACTTTATGGAAAAATATCATGTATAAACTACAAGTTTCAATTAGTTATAATTCCTAACAGTAATTACAAGTTCTTTTTTTTTCCTTACTTTCCAAAATGTCATCTATGACGAAAAAAAAAAAAAAAAAAGGTATAAAAAACAACCAATACTAGCAAATACCAAATTTTATTCTCGTCCAAAATCCGAACTCTATTACTTCTCGTTACCGGTTTTTACCACTTATCGTCGGTTACATTCGCTAAGATAATTTCTGCTCGGATACGCGTAAAAGGGAACCTTACAACTTGAAAGAGAACACGACGTGGAGGGTTCGTTCAAAAGTTCGGAAAAAGAGAGGCTTCTGTCGGCTGTTGAACTTGTTGAGGGTAAATGCCTATACATTAACAATCCAAGGCACTATATCGAATCAGCCGTTACCATGTATAAATGTACAAACGGCTCTAGTTACCAACTCGTGAGCATTTGTTAATTTTTGTAACTCGTTAAATTATAGGTAAAATACACGTTTTGTTCGTCATGTGCTATGGAAGTGTTTTGACTGTGTTGTTTCTTTATAACAGCAAATTTAAATTATACCAAAAAAAAAAAAAAAAGTAGTTGTTCGAATCAAAATGTTTGTTTATTCTAAAAAAAAGAAATTTTACTGCAGAGTATATAATATATGTGTTTTCCAAGCGTTCACATATCAAGTTGTATACGCATCCTACATTGAAGAAACAGTGACGTTAAAACTGCCTTCCAAGTTTTGTCTGATCCAACGTATAGGGCCACTGATATCTATAAATAATAAGAATAAACGCGTTTTCATTCGTTAAGTTAAAAAAGTTTAACGATTTTCTCAAAATACTTGAAAAAAAATATATAACTATTCAAAGCTGCAAGAGTTTGCATCAATTTTATCAATAAGATAAATTTTTGGTGCAAAATATTCAAAAAATCCACGCAGTTTCATAACGTTCCGAATAGTCATAGTTGAAAGTTTCACTGTTTTCTCTGCATTTCGAGAAAATCATTGAACCCCCTTAAAGAGTAGAGTAAATATCCAATGTTTTTCAGCTGAACTTAATTATTCGCGTAGTTAAAATAACAATTTTAAACTAAAAAAATAACAAGCCCTAATTTTGTGAGTGGCAACAAACAGAATTTTCTTCGAAAACAAGCTTTGCCAAACGCATTAGTACGATTTGGGAAATAAAGCGTTACTTCAATGGTTTATTTCTTAGTAAAAATATATTGTCTAATACAAAGTACTGCTCATTCGATGCTCGCACCTGCTCCGAATAACAATAGAATTTAATCACAGATGAAAAGCCAATGACGCAAACGAGTAAGTTTTTTCCTTTAATTTTACAGAAAGACGACATCCTCAAGAGCAAATATGAGTACGAAGACGCAGGAAGTATTAAAAAAATTCCAAGTGCGCTCGAAGGGAAGAAAAGCGAAGGCAGCAGCGTAGAAGAAGAAAAAAAGAGGGACGAAAAAATAATTTCGCGCGCCAGCAGAGCCCTTCCAAAGGAGGAGCTTTTCTTCATCTTTTCACGTCGCACACGCAACACCGTCCCTGTACATATAGCCCAAAGCTGCTTGGTATATACATATAGGGTACTCCAGGTGGGCACACGTCAAATCAGCTTTGACGCGCGTAACACGCGGTGCTTAAAGAACCAAGCGAGTTGCGGGCAAGTCGACAACGACACCGGCGGTGTCACGTTACCCTTCGCGTGTACACCCACTCTCTTCGCGAGCGCGTTTTACAACTTTGCGCCCTACACGGCGACGAAGCAGTAACGACGGCAACATCGTCGTCCCCCGGCGAGGCTACACTGCATAGCCCGTCTAATTATAGCACGCGACGAAATTTCGCGAATAACCAACGAGAGACCCGTTAATTATGCGCTCGCTCGTCCGGAAATCCTCTCTACTCTCCAAACGCGCGCACGTATAATATAATATCTATTTTTTTTTTTTTTTTCATCCACCCTTTTCAGCTTTTATATTCTCCTGATGAATCATCATCGCGGTCACCACCGCCGCGAAGAGAAAAAATTAAATTTTCAATGGAAGGGCTCTTGCGTCGGTTGTCCTCGAGTGCTCGCGAGCTCCATTGAAAATTAATTAAACGAGCGCTCATTATAAAATGCGCGCAGAGGTGAATTGGGGGGGGGGGACCAAAACGTC